AATGAACCAATGGATGGCGTAACAATTTAATGTTATTACATCTATTGTATACGTTCTAAATAAACTAGTTAACTAACATTGATTTAATTTCGTAGGTAAAAAATTCTAAATAAATCAATAATATTCATCATAATATACGGAATAATTATTTAATACAATGAGAATTAGTAATATTAAAGTTTTTTTTTATTCCCATATAAACTAGAAACATTTTATTTTTTTATGTGGTAATAATTTTATTCACAATATGTTGATATCTACTACTAAATGTTGGTATTGTATCCTTGACCATATCTATATGAAGATCTTCGTGTATTTGTTTATTCTTGTCGAACCACGGAGACCTAATAATATTTCTTAGGCATTTTGATTGGAACTATTGTATAATTTATAAGTTCGATTTGCTGGCCGCACCGCACAATTGGATACCATACGTCCATACTGGTTTCAGTATTACTTTGTATATAAGTAATTTATTTTCGACTGATAATTCCGACCTTTCCCGTAGAAGCCAGTAGAGTTTTTTTAAACTTTATTTCTAATTGCTCCCTCTTAGGCTGAATGTGATCTTTCCTAACTAGAAACAGGAATATTTTTTGTTATATAAATAATAACTCAAATAGCCGCCTTAGCTATACTTGCAAACCGCAAGACCGATTTTTTATCATATTGTTGAAAAATAATATGGATAGAGAATACCTCGTTTTCAATAAAATGATGACATGTGACAAAGATTCATCTAATTGTAGATGAGTCGCTTTATTGGCAACAATAATTTTAAGATCATGCGATAAGACTTCTTTATTTGCGGTGATCTTCTAGATCCGCGGAACACTGTTGTTCCGAGAAAAGTTAAAAACTAGTAAATAAAATTTTATTGATTATGTATTATTACCTATTCCACAAAATAAGCAATGCATGAATACTCGTTATATTCCCCAAAGATGCAGCTTTTATATGCATCTTCGGGATTCATTGCATCTGTTATAATTTTAAAAAAAATACATGAAATGTGAATACATTCCTTTTTTAATTTTTAATTTCTTCAACTTTGGATAAAGGTGTTCCGTGAAAATTTCAGGATTTACAAAGTCTTCCTTTGCAGGAAAAACGTTTGGAAAACCCTGTTCTAGATAATGTCTATGCCAATAACCCAGAGACAATTTGCACTCTGAAAACCTACGTCGAAGCTGCTTTTGTAGAAATAGAACATCAGAACATCCAAGTGAGTTATATCACTAAAAATCTACTTGTTTCTACTTTATATTGGAATAAAACATGTTGATTATTACTATTTGTTGTGATATTATTAAGAAAAAGCAAATTGTTCACCTCTTGAACACTATATAATCTTTCTATGATACTTTCTACGTAATAAATTTTTTTGAAACAATTTCTTTAGCTGTGAGAGAAAAACAAATTATAAATAAAATAATATTCGCAGTAATATATATTATATCACTATTTATAGTCACAATCATCCAATATTAGTTAACTTTTGTATGCTGATAAATAGCAACGAATTATCGTGTTTTCTGTCTATGTATATAATATTTTCATATTTAGCAATAATATTTATACATTTTCTCTAATGGTTAAGTTTTATAAGCTACCAGAGAATATAACAAATATGTAGTCTTCTGTGCAATAAATATTTTGTGGTAATTAATTTAATATAACATATTTATTAGCCACACTTTGTATTATTCTTAGTAAGTGGTATTTGGTCATCTAAATTACAAATTTGAATATTGACATTAATTTAATATATATGAAGAAATTTGTAAATCAAGATCTACAAATTTTCTTCGTAATGAATTATTCATATTAACATATTCCTCATCTGGAAGCATATTTCCACTCACAAATGAAAAAATCCACTAATTTAATATATGTTAATTTCTTTTGAACTTTATGAAATATGAATATTTTTTTAAGAATTCAAATGCATTAAGAAACATTTTATTATGAATGTTTGACTTAAAATCGATTGCAATTAGTTTAGATCCAACATTGTAAAAATTAATTAACTTATTAATCAATTAAATATGTATTTTGTTAATAAAATTTGATGATTTATTTAATTTCTATAATCAAATTATTATTTGAAAATGGGGTGCAGTTATTGAAGTTTCATTTTTTTAATAAATATTGTTTAAAAAACGCCTGATGCACCAACCCAATATTTCCTCTGTGGTTTGAATTTTTTTCAGTGATATATAAAGTATGCCAAATTATGTTTATTTTAAATTTACCACCGCCATCTTTCCAGAAGCTCAAAATCTCGCAAAAGCATTTTACATGAAACGTGCGGGTTTTAAATTTTAATGGGAATTTTCTCGCGAAACCGTAAAGTTTGAATTTAAAACCATGCCCAGTAAATTTTTGCCTTGACTCCCCACCGGGAAGCTAAATGTATTTTTAAATTAGAAAACCACCCTCCAGAGCAGCATTCGAATAAGCGTAAATTTAATTTTACTGCGGTTATGAATCATTTATGGTAAATTGCGTTTTACTGGCGGCATCCTAGAAATGATTTTCTTTGTTTGTTCCTCCACTATTTTTTTTTGCTGGGTCGACGGGTTTTCAACGGATTCGGTGCGCAACAAGTGCGCATGCAATGAAAATTTTAGCGAGAACGGAATATTTTCCGTCCATTGCCGCATCCATCAGGAATACCGGAATTAATTGGCGAGCGAACGACCCGCAAAAATAACCAAAAGCAGAAACAAACAACCGGTCGCGGTGTGCTTTATATTCCATTTTCTATAGCTTTTATTTGTTTCAAATTGTCATTTTCCCCTGCGGTCATTTTAACTATTTCATGCAATTTAAAAATTTAACGTTCATGTTGTTAAACAGAAGAAGATATCCCACAGTGTCCAGATAACCATCCCTGGGACACGACAATGTGATTACAGTTCTGACATTTAGTCCACTGTTAATCATAGTTATAAACAATATTTTACGGCACAAATATGTAACTGTTATACTGTATCAACACTATTACTAATAATAAACATAATTGTCTGTCAGGTGTACCAACTGATATGTATACATCATTGCATAATCTGCAATTGTGGCTGTCAATTAAGATTGACTATCTTCGGGCGCAATAAATCTCATAACCAATAGCAGTTGGTTCGCATTATAATTATTGTTTCAGGTCATCCATAGTGCATTATTATGAGTGAATAAAACACATAAATACAAAAAATACTGTGTCTTTTCATTATATTTTTGTGGTTGAATAACTTAATCAAATAGATCAATAGACACATTTTAGATAATTATGTTTGATTTCAATTGAAATTACACTTTGAATCTTTATTTTTGTTATGAATTTTAAGTTTAGTTCTTTATATAAAAAAAAACTTATTTCTATACTCACACCAATTATATTTATACAAAATTCAGGCAGTGAAGGTATTACATCTCAACAGAGGAATATGATTTATTTCGTTATTTCAGCTCTATTTAATAATCAACATTGTCTATATATTTGTCTATATTATCTAATAGAATTTTGACACTTGCAAAATATGATATTGTTTGCGTAGGTCTTCTAAGCTACGACCCAAGAGGTCGTCCCATAAATATTTACATGGTAAGTTAACCTTAATCATTATCCGAAAGGGACAAATCTTCGATAGTCTTAATCAATTATGACCTAAGGTATTATACAATCCTTCCTTCGACTTGTTTATTGTAATGAAGACATTTATATAACAACCTAATAATAAGTTAGTATAATACTGCATCCATGTTATCCATTAATGTCCATTTGTACACCTAATATTAGTTTTCAATGGAGTTAGATAGCAGTGAAACTGGTAGTTGCTTAATATTAATAGATATAAAAACTAACTGGGTGTTCATTTTTGTGTATGTCTTAATTGTTTACTCTTTATTGTAGATTCTAGTTTTTTTTTCATTTGTTTCTGTAGATATTGGTATAAGTTGCCCGATTTAGGTCTATTGGATAATAAATGTTAGGTTATTTTAGATTAGTTCATAAAGACTAGGTTAGTTAGTACTAGTTACTGTATTGGTTGATTGCAAAAATAAAGCGAAATAAATTAGTCAGCTAGATTATGTGATATGCAAAATAAATGGTTATTTTATTCAATTTTGTATAGTTGTACATAATAACTAATTTTCAATTAAAACCATGTGTCTGGTTAATTAAGTAACACTAATTGTCAATTTTAATCAATTCAATGAATATTTTCGGTAAAAGTTTCGAAGTAAATCGTACACATTTTAAATAAAAGCTGTAGACCATATATTACATTGATATATTTATAGCTACGATTTTGTTTTCCATAGAATGGTGTTAATTGTTGGATTTTTTTACTCACTGTATTGTGCCCTGTCTAACCGAAAATACGTATATTGTGTTTTATACCATGAATTATTATCATGGCAATGTTATTTTTTGTCCCTTTCATTCTGTATATTTCCGAAAATGCAAATAATGATGAATTCGCGACATGCAGATTGTCAAAAACAATTGCCGGTCCGCACTAATTCAAATCGTCAATTGTCATCGTGCGTTTCCAGTTCGTTGTATAATCAATCATTTTCCGTCTGGCTGGTACACGCATTTGTCCTCGGATTTCGGGAATGGAAATGTACCGAATCTGATGGAGGATGCTGGATGGGCGAGGTCTGATCAAATTGAAAAATTGCCTGCGATTCGTGACTCGCGTCGCTTTATTCGCAAGGACGACAGACACACACAAAGAAAAATTGTACGAAAGAAAAAAAAAAGGAACGGAAAGATTCTGTAGGTGAACAAAGTAGACGGGGAACCGGGTTGGCGTTAATAAATGGGGTGACATTATCGCGAGAGGCAAGATAAACGGGCATAAATTGGCGCCGGGGTTTCTCCACCGAGGAGAATGGGAGAGGAGGTGGAAGTTTGTCCTAGATGTAAGAGCGGAGCCGCCCTTACCGGAACGGCCGGAAGACAGATTCTTGTTCGATGAAAAGGATACAGCCTAAGGGATCCGCACTTGGCGCCGATGGCCAGAAGCCTCTGGATGGGGTCGAAGGCGACAGCCGTCGGTTGGAACGGGAATCCGTGCCGGAATGTCTGCAACAAAACGGAAAAATCTTATTAATGCGGATCCTTACAGCTTGAGTGCAGGATGCCTGCGGTGGCACCAGGAATTCCTGCTAAAATCCACCCGATGCAATTTCCTAAAGCTCGTGCTCAGTAAAGACGGATGCTTTCAAATACACAACAGTATTAACAAAATTGTTAGTCTTGAGTAGGAAGCATTGATACCCTTGTATCAATAAACCAAAAGTTCATGGCTATTACAATTCAATTTTCTTTCAAACTCTCTTGTTACGATACGTTTTCAAAAAATCTCGTGTTATGTGGAAATAAATAATGGATTATGGTTTAAAATATTTCAAAAATATTATAGAAATTGTATCTCCATTTTTTTTAATCGTATTAGAGCAAAACCGTATTAGAGTTAAATTGAAGTTGCATTTATATACACTAATGCAGATCTTTGCAACCTATTCTACTAGAAGTGCATATTCAAGAAATACCAAAATTTGTATTAACAAAAAGTGTTTGTTGTTAAAATTTAGATATTTAAGTACAGAAAAAGAGAAAGTGAGGTGGTCTAAAGCCTATCACGAAAAACACAGACCATAGAGATAACGCGGGAACGGATTATTCTGGTACCTTTAAAACTCAGCAAATAATAAAAATGCAAGCTGAAACTATGAAGTCTACAAAAACAACAACACAAAATACGAGAACACCTTCTCGTTGAAATCTTGACAGCCAACAACCAGAACTCAACTGGCAGATTTGTGGTCGCAAAACCCAATTAACAGGATTGACACCTTTATCTTAAAATGGAACAACCACAAGTCAATCGTCAAATCTTCCTTCTTCATGTCACAGAAAGATATATCTTCTACACATTCATTATGAGTCGTAGATCGTCTACGTCGTGAAATTTTCGTGTATAATAAACTTTTAGTTTGGAAATGCGCTCATCATTCAAATCTTGCATGTATACTATAAATTATTTCAGAGATTCGGTAAATATTACAATAATTTAGTATAATGTATGGTAGACAATAAAGGTGAATAGTTGTTAAATCAATTTATGAGATATTCTTTATGAGAAGGACTTTAATTTTTTATATCAAATTGATTCACATTACTTCCATGTGCACAAGTAGAATCAGTTTGTTCCAAAGGCAACATATTTATTTGCGAGCAATCAATAAAAATGGATAAAGCTTGAATACCCGTAAAATATGAAATATTCACATATTATTTCAGGATTTATTACATTCTAGTATTTATAATGAATAATTCAGAATTCAAAATATTCAGTTTTTTTCAGTCCATTGTTTGAAGAAATTATCGAATATTTTGTTTAAGGTTAAATTTGAATCATGTATAAAACAGGATTAGTTAATTATGTACTATTAAATACAATTTTAAATATGGAAATTTATATATTAATAGACATTAGGTTCCAGATTTTGTTCAAAATTTTACTCAACGGTGAATGAGATTCTAAGAATTGTGAAATAGTTTAAAGAAATCGTCAATTGAAGTACCATGCTAATCAAAGATTACCTGTAGATATAAGAGTAAAAAATGATATGAGGCATTAATGTATGTCAAAGGAATCAATACCTATAAGTTATTAATACCTTTCTTTAAATTTGTCTTTAATTTCCATAATTTTGGTGACTCAATTTTCTTTATTTTCTTGGTTATATTTTTCTTAACTTGTGTTAAGTTCCTAATCAGTATTAACTGATAAAGATGCAAATGATTGACAACAAAATGATATATCTTTAAAGATGATATCAGAATATTATTACACTAATTTCAAGCTTTTATCAAGATTAATTGTGTCCATAATTTAAGACGGTACTGCTCACATCCATCCATCGATCGATGCAGTGGGACCATCGTCAACAAGTGCCACGACGATAACGACAAACACGTAATGTATTGGCGGTTCATCCACAAAAGAAAACCCACTCCCTTCGTCCTTCGAAATGTCAGCACAAGAAGAGCGATTGGCTCGTTGCCAATTTCGCAAATTTCTCGAGCAGATTCCCATCAATCTCGAAGATCCATCGCCTTCGGATTCCCGGATAAGTGAATTTCGCTGCGACGATGCAACGATTCATTGCATCGCTCAAGCGACGACCCGACCTGTCAGAAGGATCAACAATAGGAAAAAAACACGCAATGGCAGCTTATTTTCAAATTGACGAGCGAACTTCTCACCCAAGTTGGATTCACGTCAATCCAAAAATAATGCGCCCACTTGGGACATACCCCAGTATTATAACTCCATCCATATAAATATATATATATCTTCATTCAGGGACTTTCAAACTTATATTGGATAGCAGCTGGAGAATATTAAGCATGCGAATATATATCGATTATTAAAGTGCTTCCATTCATGTATTATACATACTATTTAATGTTATTAGAATAGTGAGAATCATATTTTTTAGGAGGTTTCTAACCTAACAGTTAATTAATTAAGCCGTATACATTATTGGTTTATTGTAATAATATATTTATCCCGAATTCACAAAAGGTATGTAAAGCCTCGTGATCATTGTTGAAGCACGTGAGGACTAACGTCATTACATGCAGTTGACAACTTGATGTGATACACAAAAAGAGAATGGAATGAAGTGCGTCAATTCAGTTGATGAAATCGTAGACTGAATTGTAATGATTTTTTTGTAAGAGTTACATGGAAAAAACAAGTTTATATAAGTTAAATTTTATTAAGTAAATACTTTTTCACAATCTTTAGTCCATCTAATTAAAATTACGTTGATATTATCAATATATATTTGTAACTATTCCTATCAATTTGCTATAAAGTATAAATAATGATAGTTTAATTATATTATTACAAAAATGTTATTAATATTAATTTTAGCCAATAATAAATAACATTCCTTAAATACATATTTATGACTAATCTTTAATAATTATAATTTAAATTAGTTTAAGTTAGTATAGATTTTAAATGTTAGATATATCTCAATTGCTAAAGGTAATCCTAAATATTATAGTACTATTAACGGTATCAAATGAACATAGAAATATATTTAAAGATGATTTACTATAATCCTAATCATGGATTAGGATGTATTCAAGCTAGTAAGGATTTTGAATCTCATAAGAAGGACGCAATTAAGGATATGGGCCAAAGTAGATTTTGAAATGCTGAATCATTTCATGAAAAATATCAGAAGATGGTTCAATGAGAACAAAGCAACATCGTGTGATAAACTTCCTATAACACGGCAAATAGTTTCATAGAAAATTACGTGCGGTCTAAAACTGTGTTATAAGCTTTGGATATACAAAAATGTGGTTAGGTTCTAAAAAATACTTTTTATTTCATATAGCAACTTTAGCAAAATGTTGATCGTGTTAAAGCAAAACCGTGTCACAAACTTATTAGATAATTATATCTAATTATGAAATAACGGTTTTACGTTTCATAGAAAATTACGTATTATCTAATTTTTCTACGTTAAATACAGATAAGGAAAGATTTCTTGCAATAAATCACTCTCGACAATAATATTATTCTATATCTTTGATAAATTAAATTTGTGGTCAACGATACGAGGTTTTAATCAAAACTTATTATAAAATATCTTCAATATTAATATATGTAATACTATTATATAAGTTACAGACAAATATGGTGTTTCTCAACATTTTTGTCCCAAGGCCCATCATATTTGTTGTAGTTGTCTGCGACCCAATTGTCTATAATATAAAATTGAAAAATCGATGATAGCTAAGAGTATTATACCAGTTCCTCGTTTTGACGCAGGGTGGCAGCTATCATTTCTGGACCATTAAAAATTTGACCTATAGGTTGAGAAACGCTGGTTTTGAGACATATAATTTTAACTTATTATGAAATGGTTTAAGTTTCAATACTCTATGGACAACTTTGAAGAATTTTGTTTAGCTTAAATCATATAATTTGTAACTATTTGTAAATTATGAAATTACGTTTATACGTTTCAATTTAAAACAAATACTCTACGAACAACTGTTCAAATTTGAAAGTAAAATTGCAAATAATATCAGATGGTATTGGAAAATACAAACGAGAGAATAGAATATTTTCAATAAAATGGGTACGAACAAAAATTGAAGAAGCAAACATTTCCGAGGATGGATTTACCCAATGTATTTGAATATAGAACAGAAACGCGCAAGTTTCCGTAACCCGTTTTCTCCGAAGGTAGACAATGGCTGGTAATAAAGGACCTTAATTGAATTTACTATCGATGTAATCTTGAACAATTCATGGGATTTACGACTGAGCAGGAAAACGATGATAAAAATCGTGCAATACGCACTTACGGGTTTTCAGTGGCACATGGCATAAGGAATGCACGATGTACGAAGCGGTAAGCTTTTAAAGCGATTGCGTAACCTTGGAAAATAATGCAAATCAAGAAGAACAATAATGTCTAAAGACAAAGCAAAAGCGAAAAAAAAATCACCTGGAAACACGTAATTCCAGCTTTTAATTCAACTTTATGGATTGTAATAAAAAAAAGTACAGTACGTTTAATGGAAACTTGTGCATGAAATATGCACGAGGAAATCACCCTAGACGAAGTCACGAGCTCGAAGCACACATTCCGGACTCGACGGCGTCGGCTGCAATTTACGTCACCCCTTTTTTTTCACGTTTATTCTCTAACGGTGTTAATATTTCGCGCAGAACGACAATCGCATCCTGATTCGAATGACCTTAAAAGTAATATCTGGGAATGAAATGAACGCAGATAGGCACGCAGAAAATCATCAAATAGTGGAATTGTCAGGAAGGTGAGTGTAATCATCGCAAAACCCCTAGGATTCAGTCACGCGAAAGCTCAATCCTAAATAACGGAAAATGTGCACAGGAAATGAAAAAGAAATTGAATTCGTACGTTGATTCAAAGAATAACAACAAAAAAATCATTGTAGTTGTTATTGCCTTTCGTCTTCCATTAGGATTCAGATCAGTGCTTTTCAAATTGTCCTTATAACAT